AACAAGTTTTCAACTACATAACAAATCAATCAATAACACGTGATACTATCACGTGACACCTCCTCAATCATAACTTAACAGACATTGGCAGGAGACATATTTGTGTAGAATCCCAAACAGATTATTATCCTTGTGGTGCCCACCACGTAACCGCTAATGTGATGAAGAAAACCGTTAAAATGGAACCAGTAGCAAGTCCTAAGGTGATCAGTGTATACCTTGTTATACAAACATTAACTCTATTACCGACATGCTACTGCCAGTGCTTTGATCCCAAAACTTTAATCGTTAACAGTTATGAAAATTCCTCAGTACCTGGTTTTAACCTTTTAACCAATGCTAAAATGGGAATGTGTACGACGGTTTGCAGCAAGTTTGAGTTGTGTCGCTCAGTGGATTGGATACGTGAAAAAAAGATGTGCCGTCTTAACACGAGATTTGCCATCAGAAAAGTCAGTAGCCTCACGACCGGAGAAAAAATCATTCATGTTGACCGGAAAAGTTTTCCAAAGGTAAGCAACGTATCAGATATTGAAGTATTCAGATTAAAAGTAATTCGGTCAAATATTGAATCAGTTATCACTCTAAACTGAATGACTTTCAGCATCTGGCGGCCGATTGTCCAAAGCATTCCTGTACCGAGGATGCAATCTGTCTTGAGGGTAACTGTGTGCCTGTTTTAAAAGGTAATATATAAGATGCTTAACACATTTCTATAAAAGATTATTACAACTGTAGGTTCAAATCACATTTTATTGGATTTCGTAAATTGGAGTTAAGAGCATCACATCAAATCTAATATTTTTAACAAATGTATTCCTTCCTCAAGCACCCGGGGTCCTTGTAGAAAACCTTAAATTCCGAGTTTTCTTTCATAGAAGGTATTGATGCGAAGCAGTTCCCTCACTGCTACTGCCGTAAGAAACATCCTTAGGTTAAAATTTGTGATATTTCATCTAAAGCAGGAACCATCTCTCTATGAGTTACAAGTTCTCAAATGAGACGTTCAATTCTATTAATCAATTTTATGATGATCCTTTAAAACAAATCTGTCTGTGTGTCTGTGAAGATGACTGGACATCATTTTCTTCCTAATAGCTTACCTGAGCCGAATGCTCAGGTGAGCTTTTCTGATCATAATTTGTCTGTCGTCTGTCGTCGGCGTTGATGTCTTTGTCGTTGAAGTTGATGTCGTCATTTTCGTCCTTGATGTAAACTTTTTATATTTTCATCTTTTTCTAAAGAATCACAAAACCAATTTCAACCAAACGTGCCACAAAGTATCCTTGGATAAGGGGATTCAGGTTTTATCAAAGACAGCAGACCTCTGATTAGTCATAGTTATATGGAAGCCTCCTCTGGTACAGAAGATTAAAGTTTGATCAAATTATGATCCCTTGGGCAAGGGTAGGGCCATTATGGGTCATTAAAGTAGGATTTCATGGAAATAACTTTTTTTAAACAAATCTTGAAAAGAGCAAGTTGTGATTGGTCATGTTTTATATCGAAGCAGCCTCGGGTAATGTAATATAAGGTTTGATCAAATCATGACTCCCGGGGTAGTGTGGGGTCAAAATGGGGTATCAGAGTTTTACATATGAATACATATATATTTAATATTGAACTGATTTTTGCCATTACCTAGCTAGTTGCTCAGATGAGGGATGTGTAAAGAAAAGTATCTATATTCAGTAGATATAGAAACAGTCAACTCAAGTGAAATTACTTCCTAAGAAAGAAAATTGATGGTCATTCAATTTTTACTATAGCTATTGAGGGGCAAACAGGGTTTTACAAAAAATCACTGCTTTTCATTCTGATAAGTAAACTAAAGTATTGTGATGCAATCATGCCATCGCAATTTCCAAAAACAATACGTCACAATCATTATAATAAGTGAAACTAGTGCTAATTGTAACGGGGACCAATACAGATGTTCCCCAAACGCTCCCCAACTTCCTTTTGGTGCCACATTCCCTGTAAGCTTCATTAAATAAGACAAACTCTATGCATTTGAGGCTTTAACAACATTTACCCAGGAGAAAGTACCAAGTTCATTCGAATTTTAGAATTCCACGCGTGCGCATGTGAATGCATGTGCGTAATGACCATACTCTCATTAAATACTCTCATTAAACTGTATTTTTGATTTTACTCATTTCACGTGCACGCATGTGCTCACATGAGCATGGCGACCATACTTTCTTGTAGAAGTCCATTACATCTATCTATGTTCTAAATCCCACCCCGTTTGGTTGAAAACCAAGGGAGTTATAGCTGTTCAAAGTTTCAGCCAATCAGATTGCAGTGCACGTACACGCACGTGTATGCATGTGCATGATGACCATACCATCTTGTAGAAGTCTATTATATCTATCCATGTTCCAAATCCCATCCTGTTTGGTTGAAAACCAAGGGAGTTATAGTTATTTAAAGCATAAGCCAATCAGATTGCAGCGCACGTGCATGCACGCGTTTTCAAAATAATTGCTATATATCTTATTATAGGATATCCTAATACATGCCTATATTTAAAATTTCAAAGGATTTCATCTAAAAACAAGAAAGATATTGAGACTTTAGTTTCAGCCAATCAGAGCGAAGCGCACGTGCATGCGCGTGAGATCTTGCTTTTTGGACCATGTCATCTTGTCTATGCTTCTAATATATACTTCTAATATGAGTTTTAAAGCATATCATCAATAATTTAAATAGTTACGTCTGTATCAATCATATTAGACATTTCTCGTGTTGCTCGTGCGAGCTCTTGCAAGCACACGTGCAAGCACATGCTTTCATGATATTTCTTTTATTACGGGCTGTAGATCTCCCTAATGTATGACTATGTTCAAAATTTCAAATGATTTTATCAAAAAACAAGAAAGATATTGAGAATTTAGTTTCAGCCAATCAGAGCGAAGCGCACGTGCTTGCACGTGCGATCTTGCTATTTTGACCATGTCATCTTGTGCATACTACTCATATATCCTTACATTATGAGTTTCAAAACATTTCGTCTAAAAATAGAAAAGTTACGGTTATATCCATTATATATTGGTCATTCCAAGTTTTGCACGTGCGCGCTCTTGCAAGCACGTGCGCGCAAAATGACCTTGATTCCGCAAATCTACATAACATGCCTACTTACCCTAAAAAGGTTTCCCCTTAATCGGATGTGTACTTTACAAGATCATTCAAGGACAAAATTTTCCCGAGAAGAAAAATAATAATAATAATAATAATAATAAGAAACAGAGTAAAAACAATATGTTCCCCAACTTCGTTTGGGGAACATAATAAAAGAGGAAACACAGTCAATGCAGTTGATTCGCTATCACTAAAATAAACGAGTAGGTAATGCATTTGACACAGTTGAATTGCTGAATGTAATTATTAATAGTGGTTTCTGGCAGAAATTATATGTTTTTCCGCCTGCTTTGCGTCGGGTAACATTTTGTCTCTTGGGGGCTATCATAAATAATTTTGCACCCAATCGGAATCAATATTTGCACTACTTCTTACCATTCACCATTATTGATTTCCATGAATTCTAGAATTAAAATTTAATCTCTTCAATAAAGATTCTGGCCTATGGGAATTTAAAAATACTTTCTGAATGACACGGTGTATGTTGAAGAGGTAGAGCAAACTCCTTGAAGAGTATCTCCCTTAGATTTCAATCAATATTTTTCCCCCATAAACTTTTTATTGTAAAAATAATGGTTTAAACGTTTTTTTTTTCTATTTTTTCTATAATCAAATACATCTATTTACCAAAGCATTCTTTTTATTTTCAAAGTATTTAAAGTATTTTCATAGACGTCAATACATTTTGTATTAAATGATTATTGCTTGGGTAATTATATCTATTAAAATATCGAGTGGTATAATTACAAACCTATTACCTATTTTCTGGTGTCGAGGAATCAATAAATGGACTTTCCTTGAACTTTTCAAGAAAACAATTTAAAAGTTTCAAAGGGACAGAGAAAAGTTTGGTGCAAATATGATGCAGATCTAACATTTGGTTTACATGAAGTAAAAATGGATCAAAATAGACATCGTGTATTAAAGGTTTATTTGCAAGAGCATGTTCTACGTATGAACAATTTCTAAAACGTGGTAAATTATTGACAAACAAGTTGTTGAGCAAACAAGCTGTCTCGTTCAATGTCATCATTTCGTTAGTTCTATGATAGACACAATGACCTTGACAGCAAATACAATTTATCATTGAGTAGAATACTGACTGACGTTTTTCATACTAATTTTTAGTCCGATATTCATACAATGAATTGAGGACGAATTTTTCCGTTCCAGATTTTGACAAAATGCCCACGTCGGGTGTGATCGGTCGGCAGGGGATCCTCACTCCTCCATGGAACCTGATCCCATCTCTAATTGTTTTGGTAGTCCTTGCTTGCGCTGATTCTATTTTAGTATAGCTTTATGGACTTTGATATTGGATACTGTTTGTTCCATATACTTCATTGGAAAACCGATGCCCATAATTACTCTGACGTCTCTGTGTATGGTTAAAACTCCCCATCACAATTACATTATGAAACTGTGAAAAGATTTCAAACACTATTGACATTGTCATTACATCCATAGGAAATAGCTTTACCAAGCTTTCTAATCCAAAATTATTTTTGTTAAATTCGGAAAAGTGTACTCAGTAAGGGACTTTTGGTATGAAGGCAATTTTTTTTTTCATTTTAGAATTCTTACTGTGAGTGAAAGAATAGAATGATCATATAAATCAAATTGCTTGTATAAAAGCTTCAAGTTCCAATTTTTTATTTGAAATCTATGACCTGATATTCTTTAATTAGGTTTTCCATTGGTTTCTCCAAATCAACACGTCCACACAGATTACGTTGTATTCCGTAAACAACATTAGAAGATTTTCAGTTCAAATTTTCCAAAGTGTTTTATGTTATACAAACAGTTGTGTGAGCAGATTGACTAAAATGCTTTTTTATATATACATTAAATAGAAAAAATATACAATGACTGTTCGGAGATTTTGAAAAGAAACCCCAGTAAGAAAGGAAAAGACGGTGTGTACATTATTTATCCCGACAGTCGGAGAGAGGTCTTCTGTGACATGACGACAGATGGAGGAGGATGGACGGTGAGTAGTGTTTTTTATTGTCAATGTTATACAGTCATCGACAACACCTGGAGAGAGGTCTTCTGTGACATGACGACAGATCGAGGGGTATGGAGGGTGAGAAGTGTGTTTTATTGTCAATGTTATACATTGACAACACCTGGAGAGAGGTCTACTGTGACATGACAACAGATGAAGGAGAATGGACGGTGAGTAGAGTGTTTTATTGTCAAAGTTATACATGGACAACTTCTGTAGATAGGTGATCTGTGACATGAAGACATGTGAAGGAGGGTATGTTGTGTGTTTCATTGTCAATGTTATACATAGACAGCACCTGTAGAGATGTAAATTGTAGCATTACGACAGATGGAGGGGGTGGAAGATGAGTAGTGTGTTTTATTGTCAATGTTATAGATCGAAAACACCCGGAGAGAGGTCATGACTACAGATGGAGGAGGGTTGGCAGTGATATTTTAATATTAGAATGATTATCGAATGATCTATAAAAATGTTGTACCTAGAAGTGTCGCTCATAAGTAACGCAAAAACTGTCTATCTAAATAAATTTAAAAGAATTGAATTTAATCTTTTCACATTTCTTAATCAATCCCCATGAATTTTGTCATCGAAAAGAAATTCGCATTTAAAGTAAGCATGGAGAATGCACTGAGATGTAAACAGTAAAGAAAAGAAAAAGGAGATCAAATTTTAAAAATTGTTCTTTTATACATAAAAAGCTGCATAACTCATTTTAGAAATGTAATTTTTATATGGGAAAAATTTAATCCTTAAGGCTCTGCAGTTTACAGGCGGATTTTTAAAAATACAAAAGGTAAAAAAAAAAGGAGAGTCAAAATATAACGGTCAATTTGGTCGATTGAAATTTGTAGGGACACCATTGATGTGGCTGATGTAATGCGCATGATATCAGAAAATAATATTGACGTTGAAAAATATTTAGACATTAAACATACCATTATCACAATATTTTACAGACAGAGGAAAATCTATTGCTATTTCTTTTAGAGAGGTGTCCTATTTCCTTTCAAAATGCCCTAGAGAAATTACGCGATGTATGTGCTGTCTGTTACAAAAACAAATCTTTTAATAAGATGATGAACATGAAAGCTCTAAAGATGCTTTTTTTTTTATTTTTTCATATATTTAAAGAGGCCATATAAATCATGTACATACACCCTAATGTAGGATTAGCAATGGTAACTTTAAGTTTCAAATTGCATTAATAAGCGTTTAACAAATGTTCTGCAACGTTCGACTAGCGGTCCTTGATATGATGTTCCTGAATCTGACAACGCACCTGGAAAAAGCTTAAACATTCAATAATATGTTAGAAAAAAGAACGTAGACAGTTTTTTCCATCATTCATATAAGCTGGATATCAGCAATTGTGGGATCTTTGAGGTAGGTCGCGGTTTTACTGTTTAAAAATACGAACGAGAAAGCATATCCTGAAAATTTGATATAACGTTCCTCAGAACAATTCTTACCTGCATTGTTCTTTCCTATTAGTGGCAAGCTTGTATATAACCATAACTCTCAAACATTTGTTGATTATAAATTCTATTAATCAAGTTACCATAGGTAAAACACATTAACATGCATTTACAAAGTAGCTTGCAAACTTAGAGCTTCTGTTATAAGATATACCAAGATCATTCAATAAGTGATGCAATATATAACATATCTCTAAATTAAAGTTGAAGCATTTAATTTAATATTTTCATATTTGAAAAGTATTATTAAAGACCTCCTAAACACAGAAAATCCCACAAAGTCGCATATTGTCCTCGCAAGGAAATTCATTTGTTAAAGTAAGCATGGTCACTACACTGAGCTGAAACGGATTATTGATGATCTCTGCCAAAAAGATGAAAAAGAGCTAGCTATTTGAAAATTGTGCTTTTTACAAAAATCGCCGAAAAACCCATATTATGATATGATGTTTTATATGTGGAAAAATTATCTTTAACGCTGTATACTTTTCGGACGGATTCAGTAATTCAGAAGAAGAAAACGAGTTCAAATATAACAGTCGATGTGGTCAATTTAAATTCATGGAGACACCTAAAATATCGACTTTGTGTGCCACATGAAAAAATTAAGTACGTTACCTATTATACGGAGGCCCACTATTTTCTGTAATTTAATATACAGGTTTGCCAAATTATAAAGTCTATGTGCATGTACTAGAAGATTGGTTGTTTTAAAATATGCGAAGCAAAATTTCCAAATTCCGTTAATTAGACGTACAAACCATGTGTAAATATCCATTTTTTTCCGGAAATTGCTAGTTTTTCCATTATTTTTAACAGATATTTCTAAAATTGAAGTAGTGCCCATCCCTCGAGCAAAATAAAACATGTATATTTCAAAACATTTTTATGAAAGACGGATGAAAACAAGATAAGATTTTGCTCGAGGAATGTGCAGTATGTTTATTTTTATTTTACATTACTATTTCCGGTGGCGGATTGATGGTTCATTGAGAAGTGTTATTTTATATATATGTGAAATTATGTCGCCATAGTTTATAAAAATGTTTTAGATAAATACTTCATGCATCGTCAATATATTTATTTTTCATGTAAATCTATTTGTCATGAAAAATAGCATACAAACTGGAAAATATGTAAGGATAATTAGGCAGATGACGATGGGTCCTGTGATGTGTAGGCCTAATAATATGAATCTGACAAATATTACCGAAAAGGATAAAGAACCAACGAAAACGCTTAAGGTAGGTCGCGGGTTTACTGCACAAAAATTCTTACGAGAAAACATATCCTGAAAATTTGATAAAATGTTCCTTGGTATTCACAGCGTATTATCTGCAATTTTTATTAAATTTGCCTACATATTTTTAATGCTTTATTACTGTAAACGCGGTATTGTTGTTCGTATTTTTTTTACGCTTTACTATTGAAATGTATGGGAAAATGACTTTTTTAAGCCAATTTTGTGAAAATAAGTTCTTTTAAAAAGATTGGAAAACTTTTTAAAGGCGTAGACGAATTAGTCAGGAATTTCAAAATGTGAAGATGAGGTAAAATCAAAACTATTAATATAAAAAAATCAATATGTCTTCTCGCTAGATTTTTTGCTAAATAATTTTAAAGTTATTCTTTTATATTGCTACAATGTTGCGTTTACGGCGTTATTATATCTACAACGTCATTTTGTTGAACGTAGTCAGGTGTACAGTACGAGTATAAATATCTCGACGTTTGGAATATGCAAGATTTAAAAGGAGACATAGATACAGAAATAAATTTTATTCATCATTTAATTTATTGCGGAGACATATTAAGATGAGCAGAAACTTATTTTCACTAGTATTGTGAAATTCATATTCTGATCACAAAGTCCGAATGAACGGTATAAACATCGTGCATGAGAATTAACATACAGCGAAAACAACGCGAGTGATAAAATATTAGTACCTGTGTTTTTAGGATATTTATGGTCGATAGGATTTCAGGCATTACACAAAAACCTGATCACTTTATTCGAAAACGGTAAGATACACATCCCGATACTGAGGAAATAAGCGGCCGGGGGGGGGGGGGCTGTTACCTACCCACAATGTTCTTTCTATATTAGTCGCAAGCTATAGTATATGGTCCTAAATCTCAAACATTTGTTAATTTCAAATTCTTTGAATCAAATTTCAATACGCAAAATGTAAAACATTTGCATTCAAATTTTAAACGTTGAGCTTTTGTTATCACAAAAATATATAGAAAAAAAGATACTTGTAAATTGTTTAGAGTGTCTTATAGGTCTTACAGTCCAGGATTTTGTATAAATTTGATTTTTAAATGCATTTCACAATCTATTAGCCAGCAAAACAAGGCGAATACACGGCATTCAAATGCATAACAACCAAACAATAATGATAATGATGATGATAATTTTAAAAAAACCCAGGAAAATACATGTAATTAAATTAAACCCGATTTTAGTGATAATGGTTGATTCCATCCTGAAAAGTATACACACATTTTTGTCCCGGCTTTGATTGGAAGTCATGATGCAATACGCATGTTCCCCTGAGTTTCAAATAACGTGCGCACATACAACCCCTCAAGTTTTCCGCTAAGCAATTTTTATTCATGATAACTTTTTTTCTGCATACCATAACTTTTACGCTGATTTATTCTGATTGACTTTTAGCAGTTTAGTGTTACACTTACAATATACAGTATTCCTTTCATTTTGTAATGTATTTAATTAGTCCTATGACATTACATATAATCACACCAGAATTCAGACTGAAATTTAATTATAAAACATGTACGAGGTTTACCTACAATAGCATGCACTTTGTATTATTAATCTTCTTGATTCGTACAGACTTGAAGTCATTTGCAGAGAATTAAACGGGAAGCAACGTAACGTTGCCTTTGTGACGTAACCGACGTCATAATCAAATGTGCACAAAACAACCGCTCGAATCGTCGAATTTGTGTACCAAAACTGATGACAAAAGCAAACCCGCGACCTACCTTAATAATAAAAGGTGTAACTGATTAATCGTATCAGCACAGAAGAAGAAAACAGGCTTGTATTTTCTACCAAAGGTATATTTTTATTTTGGAAACTGAGAGAGTTCATAGCTACCGTCAGCAGATGTAAATAAATTACGTAAAAGCTCAAAGATGACGTCACAATAGATCCCGTTTGATTTAAGGAATGAAGCTAATTTCAACTTATGTTATCCGATATAACATAACTTGGGGCAGTTTACGCTTTATAAACCGCGAAGCGGTTTATAAGAAAGCGTAAACTGTCCCACGTTTTGTTATATCGGATAACATAAGTTGAAATTAGCTTCATTCCTTATAATTTAATTCCAGTGTAGACAATGAGACAATATTTCCACCGGAAAAAGACTTCAAATTGAGCATTATTTTAAAAGTAACGTCAAGCGGAGTAATACGTTTTTGACGTAACTCATTGTGACGTGGGCAAGTTATGTTATCCAAAATATTATATGT